TCTGTTTGTTTTCACACTTCCAGGGAAGTCCAATGATGACACTGCGGATTTTCTCTCTCCTATACTTCCTGTGACCTGTGGTAAGGTCAAAGGGATTTTGTTCAAGGAGAAAATGAAGCAAGGTGAGTGCCTGCTCTTCTGATGCTCTGGTACCTGGAGGACCGGTGGGCTGGATGGGAAGAGAGTGCCCTGTGTGCAACTCATCAGGAAACAGACCCTGCTGGCAAGGCTGCAAGGGAAAAACAAAAACAAAAAAGATTTCCAGGAAGGAGTTTCCAGACTTTTCCATAGGTGTATCTGGAAAGCACACCTTTGAGTCATCTATTGGCCCTGTGAGAGGGACATCCGTTTCCTTGCTACCAGTCACTGAAAATACAGATTCTGCCCCACCCCCTCTTGTCCTATAGGGTCTATGGTTCCCTGAATCTGAGAGGGGAGCCCAGATTTCCCTACCTCTGCTTCCACCAGTAACGAATCCCCTCTTGACCTGGAAAAGTGCAAAGCCATAATGGGGAGACTCAAAGGTTTGTGTAAATTCACAGAGGATCCAGGTGGGTCCTGAAATGGCCTGTCTTTTTCTTCCAGGACCCTCAGGAAAATGCATTCAGAATGAGGCAGGGGATTTGCTCACTCCAAGGGAATTTTTAATTAAAGGAGGAAAGGCCAGGTCAAAAGACTGGAAGAAAACTATATGGTGCAAGGGGAAGACGTTAAGATTCCTGGAGCAGGTATCATAATGGTCAAGGCTGGTGGGTTCCAATCCTGGAGGAGTGAGTGGAAGTTCAGTAGCAAAAAACGTGGACCAATTCCCATTGTGATTGCACAGCATGGCTTACCAAGAGCTAGACGTTCAACCAGAAAGCATTGCTAAGTGACCAAGTTAGAAACTCGGGTATGCAAGATGAAGACCATTTTGCACAAGCAAAATGGGTGGAGAATTTTAATGCAGGCCAAGTCTTTGTGCTCAAGTGAGATTTAAGAACCTTGGTCTAGTGGGTTTGGGTAGGTAGGTAGGTTGAAACTAGAGCCAGCCAAAGAAACCCACCCTGGCCCTGAAACCAGAGCCAGTGAAAGAAACACAGCTTGGCCTTTTTGCCCTACATTGGCAGGAAATTAACTGCAGGCAAAGAATTTCCTTTGTCTCCATCTACTAAGCCTTTACAGAAGACCCAGTTCATGTGGACCCTGTGAGACATATTCAGCCACCTCAAATGGGGCAGTCACACACACACACACACACACACACACAAACACACACACACACACACCTACCTTTGTGGCACTCTCTTTCTAGCCTGTAACAATTGCAGAAGGCATGAGTTGTGGTTCCTGAGCCTGCTCGGAGCTTCTCAGTAATACTCAAGCCATTATCACTGGAGGCGGGGCGGGGGGCATTGCAGGTAATCATGCAAGCTTTGCAACCTGAGGTCAATCCCCAGAACCCAAGTAAACGTGGAAGGGGAGAACTAAATGCACAACTGTTGTCCTCTGACCAGCTCCACGTGTGCACTATGGCACGTGCTCACCCCATAATAAAGCTTTTGTTTTTTTCTTTTTTTTTCCTAAATAAACTTCAAACATTTCAGGGATGAATGTGTAAGGATGTTACCTGGAGGGGAAGAATGGAAAGAGAAAGTGGGGAGAGGACTGAAAAAGGAGAGCTTGGGTCTTGGGTTTAAGTAAAGGGGAAAATTATTTTATCACTAAGGGGAATTTAAAAGAGAAAACAGGGGGCTGGAGAGATGACTCAGAGGCTAAGAGCACCAGCTGCTATTCCAGAGGTCCTGAGTTCAAATCCCAGCAACCACAGGGTGGCTCACAACCATCTTGTTATGAGATCTGGTGCCCTCTTCTGGTCTGCAGATATACATGGAAGCAGAATGTTGTATAAATAATAGATAAATCAAATCTTTTTAAAAAGAGAGAGAGAGAGAGAGAGAGAGAGCAGTTAGGCCCTAACCCTTAGAGGAAGAAGCTCATTTCTGTCCCCACACTGTGGGTTTCCTAGTCTTGATATCTAGGTACAGGTATTTCCTAAAAGGAGGGGAACATGGATACCCACAAACGAGCAGCTTCCAGAATAATCTCACTTGTCAACCTTCTTTCTTTCAGAAAGGACTTTTGCTCTGCACCTCCAACAGCAACCTCAAGAAAAGGGTGACGAGCAGATGAAGTCCTGACACGTGCTCAGCTGCTGCGCCTCAGACTCTCGGTGTCTGACTTTGCCACCGAGCCCCTGAGTGCCCCAGCTCTGAAGTCCTTCCTGTTTGGTCCAGCAGTGGGTTACATGCTCACGATGCCTCTGTTGACAGCTGATACACAATGGAAATGTGCCTGGATCCAGGAAATTAAAGACAAAGCTGTTGATGTCTGTGTGCCTTAGAAAACGGTCTTGATTTTACGATGAGTACAAACTAAAGGTTCCAGAAGAGAAGGCTTTAGTGCAGGAAGCAAATATGTTACCAAGTGTTGCTCAGTGCCACATGCTTATTGCTTGTAGCATAGACAGATGTTGAGTACAGTGATCCAAATGAGCTTTGTCTACAGCACCTTCCTCCCCGGGATCCAGGGCAAATGGTAATCACCTGCCAGCTGCACTAACCTGTAGCCAGGTCAGAGTCCTCTACCTTGGTCTCCTCTGTGAGCTCCTTTCAGATAAGCTCTCCCTGCAGAGGTCATGATGCTGTGTCTCCTTGCCTGGGAGACTGGCCTGACCCTTGGCCAATTTCCTTCAAAGTTTAAAGCCAAGAACCCCCAGTGTCACTTATAATCTAAACCATCCTTTTTCATGCTGATGGAAAGATACTGGGATTAAGGATGCTTAGTGTGCAGTTGCCACCAAATTCTATTGATACTATAAAATATATTGATACAGGTACTGGGTAAACTTTTGAAACACACACAGGCATCGCCTTGGTCTTAATGTTCCCCACCAAGACCTATGTTGAAATTGAATCTCTGTTATGAGTTAGTAATCCATTTATGGCTGTTTCTCAGCCTGTGGGTTGTGACCCCTTTGAGCATCAAACAACCCTTTCTTATGGGTCACCTAAAACCATCAGGAATATCAGATATTTACATTACAATTCATAACAGTAGCAAAATTACAGTTATGAAGTAGCAACAAAAATAATTTTGTGGTTGGGGGTCACCACAGCATGAGGAACTGTATTGCAGGGTTGTAGCATTAGGAAGGTTGAGAACCACCAGCTTACGGTATTTGGAGGTAATTGAGGATAATGAGGTCATAAAGGTGGGGTGCTCATCTGTTCAGATTGTGCCTGTATCAGAAAAAGGGGGGAGACCAGGTTGATACCCAACCCGTGCAGTCCCAGCACTTAGAGAGCTGCAGCAGCTGACTTAGACCATCATTAGTAAAGTGTAAGCAAACAACTAGAAACCTGCAAAGACTCAATTTTTGAAAGAGCAAATTGGTTTCCTGACATGACAATATCCATGGAGGAAATCAAGAGAACACCTAATAGGGAAGAGGGCAGAGCCAATGGGGAAATCTAATTAGTGACCCAAAGACCAGCTCCTGGGCACTTCCAGAACACGGGGGAAAAACACAAGGTAAGTGTTACACCTATGCCCAGGGAAGATGTGGGCACTGAGTGACCTGTGGTCCAAGGGCCTGGGTGAGGGTGAAGAGTGGAGGTGGGGTGGCTGGAGAAGACACAGGCAGGTCAAGGACAGAGGGAACTGCGTCATTCACATGGAAAAAGGCAAGGGTAGCCCACTTAGGAGATGGGGCTGAGGCTCAGACACGGGGACAGCCAGCAGCAGTGACAGCTTGTGAGGGAGCTGGCCCTGGGATACAGATGAACCAGGATTCTCTCTGTGTCATCCTATGTACCTCAGCAGTGGGTAAACTATTGGCAGTTGATGACCACTGGGGGAAGAAGGGTCAATTTTCTTTGGGGGCGTGGCCACTAGTCAGTTGTCCTGTTCAAGTAGATGGCACCACAGCCATGGGCAGCACTAACTGGACTTGGTGAGATATATATCTTAAAAAGCAGAAGAGCAGGATATGGATTAAGGGAGTGATGTATTAGGGAGGTCTGGGTTTAGTTCCTTAAAACTGCTGAGAAAGTGGGAGAGCTCACATTATCTGCAACTGGAATTCCATAATCCTACACTGGCCTCTGGCCTCCCAGGGTGCTGCATATATGTATACACACACACACACACACACACACACACACACACACACACACACACACGGATGGGGAATCAAAGGCATCCAGGTGACCCCTCCCACCTCCACCACCCCAACCAGGGTGAAGACAGGCACAGTTCCTTAAGGATCCCAAACTAGCCTGAACTAGGGTCTTAGTCTTCACTTGAGAGTTCTGTGTAACCCTGTCTAATATTTCCCAAATGTATTGGCACCTCCACCAGAGTCCCCTCCTGGGACATCCATGAGGACTCTTTGGCTTTAGACTTGAACCAAGGCTAGCCCACACAGGAGAGAGTCCCTCTGCACTTCCTAGGGAGGCATCAATAGTCACATTCCAGCCAAGTATAGTCAGAGCAGCAGGCTTCACCCATACTGTCCCAGGCATGGGGACTTCGGGGAGGAGG